ATCAAGGCTGGTGGCCAGGAGGAGGCATCTGCAATCAAGGCTACTAGCAAGGCATGGTACCAAATTTGAAAACTTCTCAAAGCGGCAGCATCTGCAATCAAGGCTGTTGACAAGGCATGGTACCAAACAATGATCTCAGACAGTGATTATACCGAAATCGAAAACTTCTCAAAGTGGCTTAGGATTTATTCCGTTTTGGCACTATTATGAATGATTTTAAGTTTAAACTTTCAATTACATTGATGCCTCTTACATTTTGATTTGTGATGGATTAGACTGATATAAATGACTTCATTTTGCTGTTTATTCTTTTCGGATTTGGGAGGAAAATGATTGAGGTCGAAATGTATCACAATCACAGTTATTTCAAAATTACCTCTATAAAGACAGATCATTACATAATTCAGGAGAAATGTAGGATTCTTCTCTTTTTCTCATGATCGCTTTAAGCGATATATGAGCGACCACATATATCTCTTAAGCGACCAAGATTTTTCCCCAAATGATCGCTTAAGCGACCAAGCTTGAAAGCGAAGAATCGCTTAAGAGATACAGTGGACCGCTTAAGCGATTATTCATCTGGGCAGATGCCTCAGAAGAGATCGATTAAGCGACCAAGAGTAAAAGCGATCATAGATCTGGGCAGATTTGATTCTGCCTCAGAATATATCGCTTAAGCGATCTTAAATCGCTTAAGCGACCAAGAGTTAAAGCGATCATAGATCTGGGCAGATTTGATTCTACCCAGTAAGAGATCGCTTAAGCGATCTTAAATCGCTTAAGCGACCAAGAGTAAAAGCGATTCATCGCTTAAGCGATCTTGTGGGATCGTTTAAGCGATCATAGATCTGGGCAGATTTGATTCTGCCTAGATCTATGATCGTTTAAGCGATCTGAAATCGCTTAAGTGACTAAGAGTAAAAGCGATTCATCGCTTAAACAATCCTCTGGGATCGCTTAAGCGATCATAGATCTTGGTAGATTTGATTCTGCCTCAGAATAGATCGCTTAAGCGATCTTAAATCGCGTAAGCGACCAAGAGTCACCCGGATGTGTGACAACGGCCTACAAACCTCCCGTCGGTGGTAATTCACCGATGTGGCTTTTTTCCACTAGATGCATGTTGGATCTCACCGAAAAAGGCCACATGTGGCCGTCATGGACGGCCAAAGGAAAGGCCACAATGACGGCCACATCTAGCCTTAAAGTACCAGATCGACGGCCAAATCTGTCGTAGATCTGGTATTTTTCGGCAACATCCGTGGTCGATGTGACCGGTCTTCGTCGTAATGCATTTTTCTGGCTAGATGTCGACATCAATATGGCCTTTTTCGATGGTGAGATTTCGGTAGGTGGGGGTGTATTTATTAAATTTTAAAATTACTCTTAGGGGTATTTGATTATTAATAAACTTAAGGGGCCTAAAAGTAATTAAAAATATAAGCTAATATTTACTAAACAATTAAACAAACAAACATTTTGAAAATATAGATACGAATATTCAACCAAACGCACCCTTTATGTTATGAAGAAAGAAGGATAAGATATGTTCACTATTTATGATATCGCTTAATCGTGCTCATGTTTGATATAGACGTAAACATTCTACACCAGAATAAGATATGTTCACTATTTATGATATCGCTCAACCCTAAAGCCATTTTATTGCTCGAAGTTTTAATATCTTTATGTTCCGAGAAAAGCAGAACAATATTTGTTTCGAGAACTTGCATGGTTACCTTGTTCTCTTCAACCCTATATATTTAATATAGACATAAACATTCTACACCATATATGTTTGATATAGATGTAAAAGAACTATATATTTAATTAAAATATAATAATGGTCATGTTCCAATGAACGAATCGTACACCCTATATATTTAATATAGACGGCCACATTCTACACCATATATGTTTGATATAGACGTACAAGAACTAAATGTTTAATAAAAATATAATAACGGTCATGATTGTACCAAATAGCAAAATATATATANCTATACAATTTTACCAAATTACCCTTCAACTTTTAGCGTCTAAGTTGGGGGACTATTTTGAACAGCATTTACCGACTATTTTGATAGTCGCAAAAAAAAAAACTTTTTGCGTCTAAACCACAATATAGACGCGCTATGAATCTGTGACCAGCCTATTGCAACTAAGGGGGCGACAACCGAATTTAGACGCTAAAAATGGCTTAGCGTCTAAATGTGACTTTCTGCGTCTAATTTTGCTAGACGCAGAATGCCAGTTTTCTTGTAGTGCCACCACCAATCGCAACAATCAGGTTGTCCCACGTATCAGGCAGCGAGCATAACAATGTTACCACTTTCTTAGATTCGGTGAGTTGTGCATCCACAGCCAGCAGTTGATTCACCAGAGTATTAAACTCATCAAGATGTGCAGCAAGAGAATCCCTATCATGCATACGGAGATTGTACAGTTTCTTGCGACGAAACAGCACGTTCACCAGAGACTTACTCAGATACATATTTTCCAGCTTCTGCCATAAACCCTTAGCTATATCCTGATCCATCACATTCGTTAGAACAAAGTCCTCAAGACAGATGCGAATCAAACCTCTGGCTTTCCGATCCATCTTGTCCCATTCAGCAAGTACGGCACGATCAGTTGCTGATAATTCTCCTTCAGCAGGTTTAGACCCAAGCGTACTTGACAATGCAGTTCCAGATGTTTCACTCATCGTAACAACGGCAGTCCTGACTGTCGGCCTATCATTCACAATTGCACCCCACAAGTCTCTATCAACGAGTAGATCCTCCATCCGCAGTTTCCAAAGCTCGAAGCGTTTGCCGTTGAACTTCTCAATCTCAACCTTTGATCTCGCCATCTCTAAATCACAATCTAACAAAACCTTGCTCTGGTACCAATTGAACGAAAAAGAGACAACAACAGAAACAAAATAAAATAGTAAAACAAATCAAACACTAAACAAAGATAATAATACGCGCGATTTACCCTGGTCCACCCAATGTGGGCTACGTCCAACTGAGTCAATATTATTGCAATATACCTCACCTCTCTCGTTTACAATAAATGAATTGCTCTCACACACCATAACAAGAGAAAAGTATGATTATATACTAGGTTTATGAGACTAAACCTAGTTTTCCAAGGATTCCTATTCCTAAGCCCAACCCAATAAGGAATTAGTAACTTAAAAGAAATCCTACAGCGGTTATACATGGAAAAGCCCAAAACCGCCAACGGGCTCGGGGGCGCTGCCCCCGCGACCCCTGCCCGCTCACCGGGGAGCGGGGCACCCGAGTGCGTCTCTGTTACCTATTAATGCTGAAGTAGTCGACAACTCCAATAGGTCTTCCATTAGCTCTTGAAGTTTTGGGTTCTTTTTTATATGGTAGACCTGCAAACTAATGGATTAGTGAACTAAAAAGGTTAGATAGAGATCCTGAAAAAGAAATTCTAGATATACTTCAAATAAGTTTTGATGGGTTAAAAGAAACAAAAAAGAAAATTTTTCTAGATGTTGCATGTTTTTTTGAAGGGTATGATAGAGCTTATGTGGTTTTAGCTCAACTATTGGAATAAGTGTACTTATTGAGAAATATCTTGTTTGTATTTCCAATGGCAACTGCTTGTGGATGCATGATTTGTTGCAAGAAATGGGACAACACGTTGTTAGAAGAGAATCCATTAATAAGCCTGGAAAACGCAGTAGACTATGGAATGAAGAGGATATTCACCTGTGCTAGAAACATGGTAAGTGATTTAGTGGTTGAAACATTTATTTTTTATGTTTCATTTTCCGTAACCATGATGAGATCAAGGGTGAACTAGCATTTGTCAAGCTTTAGGCAAATAAAAGTGTATTTTTTTTTTTTTTTTAGCTAAAGTGACTTTGTTAATAGTTATGTTAATCAGAATTACCACTCAAGAAATTTAGAAGTTAAATTACTTAATTCTCAGTTTATCAAATATAAGTGTTCATATGTGTTTCTAAACCTGTAAATCAAAGTCTCACTACTTTTCGATAATTCAATTTCTTTCTTTATTTATTTATTTTTGCGAATATATAAACTAGTCATCAAAAATTGATTCTCTTGTATTTTAAATTTACATGCATGGTTTCACGTTAGTGCTACTGATATAGAAATACACCCCACATTTGAATTTTTTTTTTTTTTTTTTTAAATGAAAATAAAATTCTTTTCATACTATTGGAATCTACTATAACACATTATTGAGATTTAATTTTGCCTAAGAAAAAAAAAATCATAGTTCTATACTGCTATTGCTGATGAAGTTCTCCTATGCTGATATCAATGTCTCTAAATTTGGTTCTCACTCTTTCAATTTCACTTATCAGAACTGAAGTAGTTGAAGGCCTAATACTCAACTCTTCCAAAAAAGAGTTGTATTGTAGTGCTAAAGCTTTTTCAAGATGATCACCGAACTACTCAAAATCACAATGTACAACTTCCTGAAGGCCTGAATATCTTCCTAATGAGTTAAGGTTATTTGATTGGCATGGGTGTCCTTTAAAATCCTTGCCTTCAAATTTCAGACTGGATAATGTTGCTACACTAATTTTAGTTTTAGCCCCATCAGAATACCCTGGAAGGGAACCCAAGCAAGATTACTTATCATTTAATGCATTCATACTTTCATTCATGGGGTAATTAATTTAGAATATGTCGTGATACTTTTTCTTTTTCTGCCCTATTTCGTTTTCAACAGCTTTTCAATACTGAGATCCATCAGTTTCAAAGACTGCCAATACCTAACAAGACACCAGATTTCACACAAGCTGTAAATCTTGAGGAGGTGATTCTTAAAGGTGTAGAAGTTGCGCCAAATCCACCCATCTTTGCTGATTCCCAAAAATATTGCTCTTCTGGATATGACACTTTGTACAAGTCTTACAACTCTTCCAGAAAATATTCATATGGAATCTCTTAAAAGTTCAGCTTCTTCTTGCTCAAAACTGAAGAAGTGTTCCAAAGATTGTGGGTAGTATGGATTGTCTATCAGAGCTTGCTTTAGACAAAACTGCTATTAAAGAACTGCCATTGTCTGTTGAACTACTAGTCGGACTTACACGGTTCAATTTGGATGACTGCAAAAATCTTGTGAGTCTTCCAATTACTATGAACGGCTTGAAATCTCTTGCAAGTCTAACTCTCTCAGGTTGCTCCAAACATGAAAACTTGCCAGAGACATTGGGGGAATTGAAAAGATTGAGGGTCCTTAATGTGAGTGGAACTGCAATAAGGAAACCAGTGTCGTCTATTTTCCTCATCAACAAACTTCATGAATTAATTTTTTGTGGATGCAAAGTTCCACAATCAAATTCATTGGCGTCACACCAATTCACCAGTTTGATGCCAAGAAAAAGTTCAGATTCCACTGCCTTTAGGTTGCCTTCTTTGTCAGGTCAGTGTGCTACTTTAGCATATATGGTTCTCAACGACTGCAACCTAGAGGACGAATCAATCCTTAGTGATTTTTTTAGTAGCTTTTCTTCACTACATCTTTTAGATCTAAGCGCAAACAATTTTGTTTCACTACCCGAAGGCCTCAATTATCTTTCTAAGCTTCATACTCTTTACTAGGTCGATTGCAAGAGACTTCAATCTTTACCAGAACTTTCATCTAATATTCAGTTAATTGATGTGAGTGGTCGTACTTCACTGGAAACATTGTCGAATACATTAAGGTTATGCAATTCAAATTTGTCGAATATTTCATGTGGAAACTGCTTGAAATTGACTGGATGCAGCAATATGGCATTTTCAATGTTGAAAGAACATCTTAATAAGGTCAGTCTCCTTTTCTCTGTATATTTATCTCCCTCCGTTTTTAAACGTTTATTCAACAGTATGACTTTTTTGTTCTTAATTTTTTTTTTTCATTTTTTTGTGTACAGAAAGCGCCAAATTTGAGAGAGATCTGACATCCATGAGATAGCTTTACGAAATGACACTGTGTTTAGATTGGTAGTTCCAGGAAGTGAAATTCTTCAATGGTTTAGTCATCAAAGTGAGGGTTGTTCAATAAGAATAGAAAAGGCTCCAGATTTATATATAAATGGTAAGTTGAGTAATCAGCGTGAGGGTTGTAGAATAAGAATAGAAAGGCCGCCATATTTGTATAATAATAGTAAGTTGGTGGGATATGTTGTGTGCTCTGTTTTTACGGTCCATAAGCATCTGCCTACACGTGGGGATAACTGCTCACATGAGGCTAGATGCGAGATGAAAGGCTCCTATATTTTGAGGAGCAGTTTGGCCAAATTGAGTCGGACCATCTTTGGCTACTATATTTTTCTAGGAAAAGTAGTAAATGGCTCCTTCGTAATAGATATGACCAGATGGAGATTTCATTTAGGTGGGGGCCAGCATTGGAGATGAGAAGTTGTGGGATCCATCCAATATACGAGAAAGACTGGCAAGAGTTTAACAGAATAACTAACGAGTCAAGATTTTGGAATTTGAATGATACTGATTATGATGGAAGCGGCAATTTGTCCTAAGAATTGATGCACAGATGAGGAGTAATGATTGGATGGGGTGAAGTTGGTTTAGTAAGGGAATTAATTGCTTTTTAATGGGCTTTTATGTTGCGTATGATATAAGATCCTGAACTGTAATACACATATTCCTCTTAAACTTAACGATTCCGGATCGCAGAAAGTTACACAACCTTCTATCCTTTATATTGATGATAATCTTTTATGTTGTTTCATAATTTTAATGCTTTTAATTAAATTACAGAGTTCACCAAGCCAGGTGCAATGGTGCATTATGCCATGCATATTGAAACTGTTTACAATATTCCTTGTTAATTTTCAATAATTAAGCAGTTTTGGTAACACATTTTAGAGAAATTATATTTAGCTCTATTTTAGGTTGTGAAATGAAAACTAACCTTTAAATGGAAAGTATTTCGCAAAATAGCTTAACCCAAGTTTTCTAATTTTTGAAGGACAAAATTGCACCTATCCAAGGTTGATGACGCAAAAAAACGCATCCCCGAAATTTAAAAACTTTTTCACTTACCTCCCCTTAAGGCCTAAGCTAACTCTATTAATATTTTTTTGATGGATTTGGGGTTATTATAAAACAAAGGACACTTTTAACAAAATCTTACAGTTATACGACACAAATATTATAAAAGAAATGAGAGGACACTTAACGTTGTAAAACCGTTAACTTTAACTAGGGGTGTGGAAATCCAGTTAACCGAACTGGATTGCCTGCTTTTCAAATCGAACAAGTTTTTCGGTTCAAAGGGTAATAACAAGCGAAATCAGATCAGATTACCTCTTGAACCGGTTACTAACTGAACCAAATTATCAGTTTAGTTCCGGTTAACCGATTTGTAAACCAGTTTTATAAAATTACCCCTAAATCTAATTCTAAATATAATCATCCTAATCCATTAATTGTCATCATCACTGTTAGGTCCCAGCCAAAGCTCCTGAAATAAAGGTAAGTTGCTCTCTTCGGGTGAGAACAAACCACAAGTTTGGGGTAATTTTTTTTGTCTTTTTTTATTCATTGAAAGAGTTTAAATACATATATTTTCTAACCACTCTTCCTAAACTTATGACCACAACTATTGTGGTTAAACATAAATTAAATCATGGAAGCAGAAATAACAAACTTGCAGAAGAATAAGACTCCAACTGACAATAAGACTCCAACAACAAATTGACTTCTTCTTTGAACGTTGCAGCCCAAGACTCAATCCAAGTATTTCTGATTCGACCAAGAAACACGCTGAGATCTTCGTGGTTTATCAATACCCCCCACTTTTACTGGAACCTTGTCCTTAAGGTTCAAATTAGGGAACTTATCTTGTAGCTCTACAGCATTCTCCCAAGTGGCATCTTCAATGGGAAGGAGTTTCCATTTGACCAAGCTTTCTTCAAAAAAATTCCCCCCTTTTTAATCCAACGAGTATCTATAATTTCCTTAGATTCTATAATGATGGCACCGTTATCGTTGAGAGGTGGCAAAGTAGGACAACTTGCACTTGAATCACCAATCTTCTTCTTAAACAAAGAAACATGGAATACCGGATGGATGCCAGAACCTACAGGAAGTTGGAGTTGATATGCTACCTTGCTGATGCGTTTCTCAATTGCAAAGGGCTTATAAAACCTGTGAGCTAGTTTCAGAGATGCTCGTTTGAACACTATTTGCTGGCAATAAGGGTGCAGTTTAAGGAAAACAAGGTCATCGTCATTGAATTCGATGTCATGCCATTTTGAATCACCCATTTGTTTCATCCGATTGGAAGCTTGATGTAAGTTGAGCTTGAGCTGATTGAGTAGATCATTGCATGAGGCCAAGTTCTGGTCAACCTCATGAACAGGAGAAGAGCCCAACTAATAGTGTGGAATCATGGGAGGAGGTCGACCATACAGAGCTTGAAAAGGTGACATTCTGGTCGAAGCATGGTAGGTTGTATTATACCAAAACTCTGCCCAGGGAAGAAAAAAGTACCATTTTTGTGGTTGTTGGTGAACCAAACAGTGTAGATATTACTCAACACAACGATTGACAACTTCGGATTGACCATCAGTTTGTGGATAGTATGTGGAGCTCATCTTCAATTGTGTGCTAGACAATTTAAAGAATTCATGCCAAAAGTTGCTTATGAAAATAGGATCATGGTCACTGATGATTGATTTGGGCAGGCTGTGCAACTTGACGATGCTGTTCGTTTTTATGATGCTGGTTGTTCAAAGAAGAAGAAAGATAAAAAAACTAAAAAACTGGACGTATTTTTCATTAGACAAAAGTCTGCATATAACATACTTCTACTTACTGTTTCAACAACCATCAGAGGCTTTTCCTTAATCTCAGCTAAACCACTCAAAATACTGACAACATCATTACAAAAAAGCTGAGCCAATAAATACAAGGATTAACATTAAATTACAGTAGAACTTAAACCACTGAACCGTGAAGCACTCCCATGCACGTCCATGCAGAGCAAAACCTTTTCCAGGATTTCACACATTCGGCAAACCAAACTTCCAGCACAGCATCAACCTTCAACAGATGCCATCGACAAATTTTTCGGCTACCATCTTGCCTTGGGATGGAGGCAGTCCTTCGATGAAATCCATGGTGATGTCGTCCCATACTTGACAAGGAATGGGCAGCAGTTGTAGGAGACCAGCAGGGGACAACGTAGAAGCCTTAGCTCGTTGACAAACATCACAAAATGAGACGTACTCATTCACCATTCGATACATTGATGCCAATAAAACTATTGGGCGATAAGTTTATGTGTGCGCAGCACTCTAGAGTGGCCACCAAGAGGAGAGTCATGGAACTCATGCAGTAACTGGTCTGAAATTTGGGACTTGGGAGGCACCACCACCCAATTTTTGTATAATATCAGCCCATTACACTTTGTGTAGGGAAGGCCTAGTTGGTAGCAGCCAATTGGCCAATGTAGTCCATGTAAGCTTCGCCTTCAGCTGCTGTTTTTATTTCCTCCTAGATTTGAGCTTGCGAAACAAATAAAGCGTTAAGAGTTGGAGAGCCTATCACACAGGAAAGGGCATCGGCTGCTGAATTTTCTCTGCCAGGCTTATAAAGTATCTCATAATCTTAGCCAAGTAGCTTTGCAACCCATTTTTGCTGCTTCGGTGTGACCATATGCTGCTCGAGTAAGTACTTGAGGCTCCGTTGGTCAGTTTGGATGTAGAATTTCCGCTCGAGAAGATAAGGTCGCCAAGTTCGTATGGCATGAATGATTGCAAGCATCTCCTTGGTGTATGTGGACCATGATAATTTGGATACTCTTAAGGCTCGACTCATAAAGGCAATGGGTTTTCCTTGCTAGGCGAGCACGGCTTCGATCCCTTCCCCGAAAGCATCAGATTCGATAGTGAATGGTTGCTGAAAATTTGGCATGGCATGGCAAGGGTGGGAGTGGTAGTCATAGCTTGCTTAAGGAGCTTGAAGGAGGTCTCAACTTCTTTAGTCCACCCAAATTGGCCTTTCTTCAAGAGATTAGTGAGCGGTCGAGCCAAGATGCCATAGTTGCGAACAAACTTCCAATAATAACCTGTAGGAGCTAACAACCCACGTAATTCTGAAACATTAGTAGGTCGAGGCCAATCAAGCATGGCTTTTATTTTATATTGGTCAACTTTGACCCCTTAAGTAGTGACAGTATGCCCCAAGTATTCTAATTCTTGCTGTCCAAATGCACATTTTTGGAGTTTTAAAAAAAATGTGTGATGCCTGAAAATTTCAAAAGCTTCTTTAACATGTTCAAGATGCATGTTCCAATTAGGGCTATAAATTAAAATATCATCAAAGATTACTAGAATGAATTTACAAAGGTGAGGACGAAATATGGAATTCATGATCGCTTGAAAAGTGGATGGGGCATTACAAAGACCAAATGGCATAACAAGATATTCATAATGACCACTGTGAGTATGAAAGGCAGTTTTATGAATATCAGATGGAGTCACGCGTACTTGATGATAGTCAGCCCGTAGATCTAGTTTGGTAAAATAAGATGCCCCATGAAATTCATCGAGCATATCATCGACAGTTGGAATGGGAAATCAATCTTTGATGGTAACGGAATTAAGGGCTCGATAGTCAGTACAAAAATGCCATGTATCATTTTTTTTTTACAAGCAAAACAGGAGATGAAAAAGGACTGGTACTTGGTCAAATTAGCCCTAGTTTTAACATGTCAATAACTTGTTTTTCAATTTCAACTTTTTGATAGTAGGCATACGTTAATTGGCTCCGTTCCTTCTTTGAGGGGAATACAATGGTCAATTTTGCGAGCTGGTGGTAATTGTTGTGGTTCCTCAAAAATGGCAGCAAAGGCCTTAATTAATACTAGCATGTCTACCTAAATGGTCTGCTGTGGCGCCTCTGGTGGTTGCGAGCAGATTGCAAAAATGAA